GCGCCACCTGCAAAATTGCCGCTTATTCGCGAGTTTGAAAGAAAATAACGCGTTCGTTCGATATCGATTCGTAATTCTTTTCTCGCTCGCGTTTACACCGTTTCCCTAACGGGGAATATATGTACGCTTTTTCTAAGGGATTTATCCTAGAATTTCTCGGATCGATCGTAAAATTCCATACTTACGTGGCCGAATATCACGGACGATAATTTCTCGCGTCGGCCTTGCAACGTGGGTGGGCGGTGAAACATTTGGAAAGGAGGAAGAGGGAGAGGGGAGGACGCGATACTTGACAGGGAGTACCAATTATTTCGTTTGACCTGGCCGGTGGCCGACCGAGCCAATACTCCGAGACAAATTGTCAATTTATGCTTTCTCGTTATTACGCCGTTCTGATCATAGCGCGCGGTTCACCGCGAGCCAACCGAAATGCACCGCGTATCGTCATCGAGTGCATTCTGCGAGATACCAGGAGAAATGGGTTGAACGTGTTTGCGCGCAGTTTGCACCCGTCCCAAAAACCCGAGAGCGAGGGAAAGCCCGCGGGGGGGGAGGGGGGGGGCAGGATCGAGTGGTCGGGATAGGAGACGTTAGACAGGGGTAGAGGGTGAAATTGTTCTTTTCCGCGATAACATCGCGCAGACAGTCCCGAGGAAACGGGGAGAAGGGAGGAGGAGATGGAAATCCAAGACTGGCGAGATGTTCTCGAAGAAGAAGAAGAGGGAGAACGAGGAGGGAAAGTTGGTCGGTTGCGTGCACCGTGCGCTGGTGTATCGTAAAAGTAAAGCGTAAAATCGACCGCTGACTCCCGGTTCGCCGCAGGGGGAAGCGAAATCGAAAAGAATATCGGGGTCGATTTAAATCATAAAACTGGAGTAAAAATCCAGTGAGCGGTTCTCGCTCGTTTCGGGCTTCTCGGAGGCCGTCCCTCCCTCCCCCCCTCCGTCGAGAATTTCTTTTTCCTCCGATTCAGCTCGTTCGTACGGCCCCCGCCGCTTTTCTTATTGCCACGCTTATGTTTCTCTTTCGCCATACGACATTATCCGGCCGATGGAACCGTAAAAGGGAATTACTCCGACGATTCCACCGCTTTTCAAATCCGCCCCCTCCTCCCCTCCTCTCCCCCTTCCCTCGTTATCGATATTTCGCCCCAATCGTTTACCCGCCGATTCTCTCTCCCGCCTAATCTCCTCCCCTAATCTCCACCGGAACAACTTCTTCTTACTTCCGATTTTCGAGAGAGAGAGAGAGAGAGAGAGAGAGAAATAAGCGCGTCATCGATCGCCTTTGATTTTGGAAAAAGAGAGAGAGAGAGAGAGAGAGAGAGAGAGCGAGTTGGAGTATCCTCCGAGTAGACGGGAACGAAAACGGGACTATTCACGAAGAGATGGCGCGACGGAACAGGAAGCGATAATATTTCATTCGCGGGACTAGAATATCATTTTTCAATAGCGTAGCTTAGCCGGGAGTTATATCGACCGGCTATATCTTCTGAACGTTGCCCTTCGTTTTTCCTCCATTTCTCATTCCGTCTGGTTTTTTCTCTCCTCTCCTCCCCCTTTCTCTCGCTTCCTCTCGTTCCTTTTGTTGCCGAGTTTGACTACTACTACTACTACTACCACCACTACCATCGCTACTATCACTAGTAGCAGCCGTGCGCGCGATCACCGGGATCCGGGTTGTATAAGCGGTCGAAAACGATGGCGCAAAGGCTGCGTCGCGCACCACTAAATTCTCCATGCAAATGAGATGGCTGATACGCGCGAAATATAAATCCGAAAAACCCCGAGAATATTTATGTCTATTATCTGAAGACCCTCCGAAACCGCTTTGCCTACCTCCCTTGCTTCCCGTCTCCTCCCTCGTTTCCTCGTGATCGGCATCGAAACGTAGAAGCTGCGGTGATGGTGATGGTAATGGTGGTCGTGCTATCCTTATCGCGCGTCCACCCGTACCCTTCGTTCGTCGAATCGATTAACTCCCCGTCCAAAATATCCTGCTATATCGATGACCAATCGATCGCAGCGATAACTTGTGGGAGAAAAAGGGATCGAGGAAATTGCGCGATTAGACCGAGGGGGAATGTTTTTAACGATTCGACTCGTTCACACGTTCGGTCGAGGTGGAACTCGTCGAACTCGAGGCGAGCGACGCGTCATGGAAACCAAGCTCTAATTAGCACAGCGACACGGGCAACGATCGTTTTAATCGCGCGCTTCCTATCACTCGAAACGAGTTTCTCCAACGGTTATCGCGCCAAGTATCTCGAGGTCTTTAACGCGTCGTGAGCGTTAAACGTCGGTCGGTTGACCCCAGAATCGCCTGGCCGACGATAAAATTACTACTAGCTAGTTTCCATTGTCCGAATCAACGAGATTCGCATTCATCCCTCCTTTCCTTACGATTACGTACATTCTTCGTAGATTCTTCGTTGACCTTTCTCTCTCTCTCTCTCTCTCTTTTCCTTCCTTTTGTCTTTATCGAGCCACGTAGTAGCCGTGTTCCCATGCGGCGGTGGTCGCGCAAAGTACTCGGGGTGCGAAGGAGCGGTTTTCGACCCCCTCCTCCACCTCCTCCTCCTCTTCCTTCTCCTCCTCCTCCTCCTCCTCCCGATTCTCGACAGGTCGAACGAGCCTTGGCCCAGAGCCAGCGTATTCATTCCAGAAACTAGCCCCCGATCTAAGGGGCCAATTATTTAATCAATTCCACCCTCTTAGCGGCCGGTATAGACACCACATAGGCTATTCGAGGTAGGGAACTGCCGACGACGACAGTGGCGGGCGTGGACAATTGAAATCTCTCTCTCTGAACCCTTGCTTTTCGAGACGACTCGATTCCAATCGGTCGGTCACGCTATAGCCGAGCTATGCGCCCCCATTATATTCACAATGGGGCACGATTTTAGGGGCCAATCGGTGAGAAGAACTTTCGTCCCGCGTTCCACCACGTAAGGAAACTCGATTGCAAAATCCTCTCGTCCAATCAAAGCCCCTTCTCCCTCCCGATTATCCTATTATCAACGTATCCGACGTATCGCATCGATCGTTCGGAAGAAAGAAACAGATCTCTCGGTGTTTCGCTTCGAATCGGTAGCGCAAAGTCACGAGTTTCGTAGAGATGGGTAGGGTAGGTAGGTAGGTAGGTAGGTAGGTAGTCCGTGTCTCTACCGACCACGCCAACGTCGTAGATCACGATTCCCCGGAGAGAGAGGGAGAGAGAGAGAGAGAGAGACCCATCCTCTTGACCGCGTCCATCCGCAATCGTACGTCCCAACGTTCGAACGTTAAACGTGATTTCGGACTCACGGCCGCCGATTCCGCAAAATTAATCCGGGTCGGAACCATCGATTCCTCCCTCCTCCCCTCCCCTCCCGTTTATTTTCGACCCAACCACCTCGGAAATTTAATCGAACTCGTTTCTTTCCGCGAACGAAACACCATCGCGCGTCTTTTTTTAATTTTTCCCCCTATTCCTATTCGACATTCACGCTCCTCTACGTCGCGTAGACGATGACCTTACTGTTCGAGCGTCGATTCGTCGCCAAATTCCCGTACACGCGTATTATTTATTAGTAGGTATCATCGTCGAACGGATCGACGCGGATCGACGAACGAAGAAACGATATCGAGCGAAACGGACGGTGATAAAAATTACACGGCGGGGCCAACCCCTTTATCCGGCACATGCGCCGATCGATCCCTCGCGCGTTTTCCCAAACTTTTATTTACGCTCGGCTCGAGAGCCCCGTTAATTATTGCCACGAATACCCCGACGAATCGTAACCTAGCCGCGCGTTACCAGTTTCTCGTGAATTATTCCGTGTCGTTGGAAACGAGCTGACTGTCTGGCTCGCTCGATCCTTTTTTTTTCCCCCCCTCCTCTCTCTATTTTTTCCCCACCGTTTCCATTAAATACGTATAATACCGCGTACGTTTATTTCGAGAATTCTCATCGATTACGGGGTCGTTTAACCAGGCGTTGACCGATCGACCCCTCCGGAACCAGGAATCCGGGTCGATACGAAGGGAAAGGAAGAAGAGGTCTTGATGGAAAAAACTGGTGGATCGAAACACGCGCATCGATACGCGTTTATGTCATCGTATGCTTACCGATCTGGATGAAAAATAAATAGATAGGCGATAAGTGGGAGATAGGTCGTGGCGCGCGAAAGTAGCCCGCGTCCGGGATCGTGATCGCGATACGAATCTCTCCCTCCCTCTCTCTCTCTCTCTGCCGCGCTCCTATCTACTCGATCCAAGTACGCGTGTATGTAGGTCAGCTATGCGCGGATCGCCAGCTACGATGCCGACGTGCTTTCGCGGTAATCACGCCGATATAACCGCTTACGTCCGACCCGTTTAAATATATTTCCTCGATCGTGATCTCGAAGCGATGCGAGATCGTCTCGTTCCCGATCTCGCCAAGAATTTCTCATCGTCCTAACTGACTAGGAATCGTCGACGAGTTGGCCGACCTCGCGAACTGGAATAGAGGAGAAATTGGTGGGAAAAATAGCGCGAGGGGATGAAAACGAGCCTTGCCTCTCTCGTGCCAGAGACGAAGCGCTCATCGATATCGAAGCGCGTTTCTAGCTAGCGAGGATTTTCGTTTACGAAAGAAAGAAGAAATCTGGTCGCGGCGAAATATTTTTCGACGAAAGTGGAAATATAAAGTGGAGTGACAAACGGCGAGGTTTCGAGGCGGCCAACGATCCTTCGAACGTTTTACGAGCTCGCGCGTGCGCGATTTCTTCACGGTTTCGCGCTCTTCCGAGAGCTTTCCAGCTTGCCGCTCGCGTCCCTTTTTCACCGAAAAAGTGAAACGCGCTCCCTCTATTCGCCTAAATTTCTGACGAATGAAAAAAAGAAGAAAAAAAGGAGAATCGCAGTACTCGTGAATAACTGGACGAACGGGTCCTGGAGGAGGTCCACGAAGCGTTCTCCTCTGACGCACGATACTTTATATGATGATGATACGCGGACTCAACGAGCTTGTTTCAGGAAACATCAGCGACTCGCAGTACATCACATACATGACAAGTAAGTACGAAGTGCAAAGTGGTGGGCGCGTTTACCTTCCGGTCGCGTATCGCAATCGCGTAACTTTGCGGTAAACGTGTACAACTACGTGTGTAACCGTCGATGGTTCGAAGAAGGAAAAGAGAGAAGGGAAAGGAAGTAGCGGAAGGGGAGGCGACGTCTGAAGGAGTTTGTTTCGCGTGGCCGCGTCCCTCCTCCACCGTGTTTCCTCGCGTTTCAAGAGGGTCGTTAAAAGAGTGGCGGGGAACCGGCGTAAATCGGCCTGTTTTCGAGGGCCGGTACTCGATTTCGCTCGGATGACCACCGGCCATCTAAATTTCAAATCCGCTAATGCGTATTTTTGCACCGAGTCCGAGCCTCTTATCGGGGGAGGGGGAGGAGAGGGGGTCTACCACCGCTGCACACTACTACCGCTTTGAATTTCAAATTTTCGCGCGCGCAACCCGTGTCGAGCGTGGCACGGACCAACTTTCGAATGTTTCTGCCCGCTTATGCGCTGTCATTTGTTTCGCCCCCTCTCTCCCTTCGCTTTTCCATCTACCCTCTCCCCCGATCTACGATATCTAACGGATTTTATTTATGGCGGCACCGACTACGTATCGGAATTGATTCCGTGATTTATTCGCGAACCGACCGACTCTCTTCGACCGGTCGCTCGATATCGTCCAGAATGATAGAGAGAGAGAGAGATTGGCTCGAAATCGAATTTTATCGAAGACAGGTTTTTCTTTCGAATCTCTCTCTCTCTCTTCCTCTGTCTTCCCTCTTCCTTCTCTCCGTGCCTCTTAACGAGCGATAAATTTTGCTCGCGCCTCCTCTCCGCGTCTATCGATTCGGCCGTGAAACTGGCACGCGCGACGAACGCATTAAGGTCGCGAAAACTGTCGTCCCCGTATAATTTGTACAACGAGGAGGAGATACGGACGAGGAATGAGACGCGAGACGGGAATCGAGCGACGAACGAACCGTTCTCCCGAGTCAGTTTAACGAGGGGTATAACTTGGACTTTATCTTGGGGTAATTTTCTCCGGTACATCTCGCGCCGCGGTTTTTACCGATCTTCTTCCGATGCTGCACGAAGGGGGAGCGGGGAGGAAGGAGGGAGGGGGGCGGGGGGCTCGGTGGCTAATTGCACCGCACGACCAGACGATTGCGAAAGTTCCACGCGCGAACCGTGAACAAGAAAGTCGCACTCCGCTACCAACGGCTAATTGAAGCGCAATTAACCGCGTTCAAACGTCGACTGCTGATTAGAGTGGTGGTGGTGAGCGCGCGCGCGCGATACCTTTCTAATCCTATCCCCGCGTGTCCCGCCCTCGGTCTTTGACTCCTCGCGGTAGTTTCCTTCCCTCCCTCGAATCGACCCTTCTCCCATCTCGCGTGTATATAACAGTTGGCGCGAATTCCGCGCAACGGTGGGATGCAAAATCGGGTCGATAGTCGGTTTAAAAATAAACTTCTCCGCTCTCCGGAGAATTTAATTTTTCAAGTATCCCCCGGCAGACCAAATACGGGTCGCGAGCCGTAGACCGTATTAAACTTTTGCGTTCTTCTCCGTTTCGTAAATGCTCTTTTAAATGGGTCTGAAAGCGCTATTAGCGTTAAAAGCCAGTTACGAGGTATAGCGCGGTAGCGTTCGACCGGACTAAGCCGGTTGCTCCCCACTCAAAACGAGATACGAAAGTGCTCTCGGGAGTTGCTACGTGTCTCCTGCCTCCCTCCCTCCCTCTCTCTCTCTCTGTTTCGTCGGGCCTGTGCGTTTCTCGAAATAAAAAAATTTCAAAGGCGCGCGAATCGAGCGGATAAGTGGCGTTCAAAGATTCGCTCGTCCCTCGACCGCGTCGTGTCAATTTTTTCCTCTCCTTTTTCCTTTCTTTTCCTCTCCTTTTTCCTTTCTCTTTCTCTCCTTTTTCCTTTCTTTTCCTCTCCTTTTCTCCTCTTTTCTTCTCGATCCTTGGACGATCGGTGTCGATCGGTCGGTCGAGTACATAGCACAGAGGGCCAAATATACTCTCGGGAATACCTCGAAGACGACGCGGCGGACGGGGACGCTGCTTATTTAGAATATTGCCTGCATACATTTGCATAAATTTAGCGCAGGTCCTGGGCGTTTCTCCTCGGCGTCGCGACCATCGTTACAGATCCGTGGAGACCCCGTTAAGTGGCGGGGAAAGATAGAGCCGAATCCGAGGGGAGGTATCGGATCGGCGGCGGAGAAAAACTGGCGAGCCGGATGCAAATCGCGTGGGAGCGTGTCGCGAAGAACGGTCACGCGGGCGGCGATGCGAGTCATCGGCGAAACACGGTCGGATTTTGGGGGCCGTCGCCGGCTACATACATACATATTCAAATTGAATTACACGCCCTACCAGACGCGTTGATTCGAAATCGTTCGACGCGGCGGCCCCGATCTCTCGTCGGGACGAGGGCCGCCCCCGCCCGAATACGCCGAAACGCCATTGTCCCCGAATCCCGTTCCCGACTTTCCGAAAGCTAATGGGAAATTCCCGGCCCCAGAAGTTGGTTGGTTAAAACGCGATCGCTTTGCATATACGCTATCGACGAAATCTCTCTCCGTCCGACGCGTCTATGTGCATATACACCTCCCCCCGTCCTTTCCCGTCTCGATCGCGTAAACGCGTACAAATAAGCGCGTTCAACCACCGTGTTTGCGTAGCGGGCAAATTTGACTCGGGGTGTATCCACGTAACTGTGGGATCGCGGTCGCCACGGTTGACCGGCCCGTCCTTTCTCCCGCCGCCCGCGGGAGGAGAGAAGAGATCTTTCGAGGATAAAAACGAGGAGTTCGTTTTTATGCCCTCCCCTTTGTTCCTCCGGTTTTGTTCCCTCGCACATCTCTCGTTGCGGAAAAGAAGGGATGAAGAAACGGATAATCCGCGCCCGACAAATCGCCCGACGCAAGACGCCCTCGACACGAGACCTCTTCTTTTCGCGCGGGAAAATCATTTGCGGGGGGGAAGGTGGAGGAATAGTAGTGGCGCGGCGGGAACAGGTCGGATTACGAATTTTCTTTTAATTCGAGAGGCAACTTTTTCCAACCAGCGAGACTCGAAATTCGAGGATTGGATGAAACGGGAAGCGCGCCGCCGCGACGCCTCTCGAGAAATCTCGTACCCGTTGAGCCGTCCCGCGTTATCGTGAATCGGGTTTCGATCGGTCGAGTCGCGAATGGAGAGGCGGAATTTCGAGGGGTATTAAAAATTTCATCGGTCGGTTTTCCGAATACCGGAATATCGCAACCGGTTTTGTCCGGTTGACCCGGGTTTCTAATACGAAAAAAGAAAACGGGGTCGATTTATTTCGGGAGCTTCGCCCCGTTCGAATCGAACCACACTCCGGGAATACTCCTTTTCCACGTTCCATGATCGGGCCGAATATCTAAACGCGTACGTTTACGAGACGAATAAAGGGAGGGGTCGAGCGGACGACGACGATCGGAGAGATAACGAAAGGTATTACGCGTTGGGAAAGATCGAGAGCGATATGGCGAGCAATAATAATACTTAAATACGGTGGCCAATGACGGTCCTCCTTTCTCTCCCTCCCTCCCTCCCTCTCTCTCTCTCTCTGTGCCACGTAAATTCAATTTCACGGTTGGGCGGAGAACGGCGGAAAATTTTCATTATTTAATCCACGCGGGATTCTATTCTCCATTGTTGGCGCATTGTACTCCCGTACAAACGAGTAGAAAACGCGGTGGAGAAGGTTTCCGGGAGGCGAAGCTGCCGGACTCGTTCCTCGTTGATACGCGGACGCCGTTCCACGGATAGCGGAGGGGTTGGAAACCCATTTAAATTAATATTTGCCCTGCTCCCGAACGAGAGGTCTCGATCGCGCGGAACGCACCACCGACCCGCTCGATACCGACCTCGAATTTCGATACGGATAAAATGGGAATAAGGTTGCCGCGCAATTATTCGCGATAAACCTGCGCTCGCGTAATGCACGCTCCACGCGGATGCAGCCGCGCCCCACGACCACAACCATCCCCTCCCTCCTCCTTTTCCCTGCCCTGGGAACGTCATCCGCGTCCGTCCACGATCAGAACCCGCCGTCCACTTCCCGCGTAAACTGCCCCCCCTCCCCCGTTTACAATCGATGCGAAATGCCATCGACACCCCCCTCCCTACCTCCCGCCAAGTCTCTCGGCTCGCAGACGGCTCCGTCCGTCAGACGCTCGACTCGGAACCGCGCTCCGCCGAGATGTTGTCGAAAAAAGGGAACGGGATTCCCGCCCGATCGATTTCGTAACGCGTGGGTCGTAGTCGGGCAACGCGTAATTTTATTCAAATCTTATGCAGATTGCACCGTTATCGGCTACTTTTTCAATTACGTCGCGGCAGGCTATAAAGCGTAATAGAGGCGAGTTGCTCCGCGAGCGAAACTTTTTCTCACCCACCCTCGGTTTCGCCTCGCCGCGCCGAGATCCTGCCAAACCGGTATAAACTTTAACCACGAGATATCCCCCGCGCCACGGCTCGCTCCAACCTTCTCCTCACCTTTTCTTTCCAGAACAACTCGCATCGCGGTTTTCCCGATCACCCCTCTCTCGAATTTTTTCGAATGGTTTCGAAGAAGAAATGGTTTCGAAGAAGAAATGGTTTCGAGAATCGTTTCGGAAATTGGGGATTCGATCGATCGATGGCGACTCGAATATTTAAAAGTCCGCCCATGCGCTGGATTGCGCTCGATTAATGCACCGGTTTCCAACTATTTCGTTATGATAATCGTCACGTGTCCGGCCACAATGCGACCCGATACCAATAATCTCGAACGAGCGATTCGATCAAAAATTATCGATGGTTCGCCGATGGAATAATATTTACCTTAAATTGCATCCCGCGCGCCCGCCCTTCCCACTTTTCATCGCAGAGCCGATAGATTAACGCGTTCGTCGTTGCGAACGAATTTCCCTTCTCTATTCGACGCTTCGACGCCATGTCCCCCTTTCCCGCGATAATCTTCCATTTTGCGATCGCGCAATTTTTTCCCCTCCCCGCATCCAGCCAACTGCGCGCGTCTCGTCTCGTCGCGTCTCGTCTCGTCTCGTTTCGTTTCGATCCCATTCCACCCCGTTCCATTCCATTCGATCCGAATTCGAATTCGATTCCGAGAAGAACCGAAATCGAAACGACGAACGGGTTTACCGCGCGGCTGAAAAACATCCATTTTCCCGTCGGGTTGATCGTCGGCTCGCGTTCGCGCGGTTCTCGCGGAGGACTCGAAGGAGAGAAGGAAGGAGGAGACACGGTCCAACGTTTTCGCGGACCGCGTCGTTCGAGCGGCCAATTCGTTTTCGACCGAAGATTCAGGGCCGATCGGAAGATGGAAAAAGTCGGAGCGTTCTCGTCGGGATCGACGATCCATGGAAGAGTGGCCATAAACGGTCCGTGCGATCGCAAAGTTTCGAGACCAATTTAATACTCGGGTCGGTAGTCTCGCTCCGAATGCCACGCCTCTCGGTCTGGTCGCCCTTCGTTTCCAGTTGGGACGAAGTTGCAGTGGAGAACGACCGACGAGGAACAGGAGGAGGAGGAGGAGGACTGGACCTCGAGGAAGAGACGGAGGAACCGGAGCGTCGTTCATCCGTCCGTCCGTCCGTCCGTCCGTGCGTCGTGGAACGATCTCTTTACCACGGCTTTATGGGTAAAAGCGCGTCGAGCCAGTTTCAAATTTTCCCGTCGAGTCCTCTAATTCCGCGCGTGTTTCCCTACGACACGCGTTCGCGCTATTTGTCCCCTCGATTTCAACGTTACTCCATTTCCCGCGATAGCAAATTTCGTTTATCGAGTTTACACGAGTTTCCATTCTATCGAATCTACGAATGCTCGTGACAACGTTTTTTTTTTTTCCTCCCTCCCCTCCCATGTCTCTTTTTTCTCTCATACATATTTCCCAATTTTTTTCCCCTCCCCGTTTTGCTTGTATGTTTTTTTTCCCCTTTTTCT